TAGGTAGTGCTACCAGACAGCCCCTGAATGTCAATTTGGACGGCCTTATTGAATTTAAGGAGCTCAATCGGTGGATGCCTTGTCTTTGTAATGATATGTTAGCTTACGTAAATATTAAATTATAATTCGCAACATGCATTTTTATTTTTTTATTTCGTACGTCACCTGAATAAATCTCGAGTGTGATTGGAGCGAGAAATTTTTTTATCCCTTATCTCACGTCCAATATCAACCCTTAGTATTGATTGCCAAAAAGTTATTTTGAATGTTCAATTTGAGTAAACGAAAAGTAATTACAATAAGAGTGTCTTATGCGTGACTCAGTTATCGCATTATTTATTTTTAATTATCTTAGTTTGAAATTAGTCGAGGAGTTGAAAGAATCGGATGTGCTTTGATATCCCTTTCACAATATGTTTGCTAGTTATCTGTCAACGTATATCATAAAGGCCCAAATTTAAAGATAGACAGAATAAAAAGATGGCAGATAGTTATGTATCACTGAATTGTGGGGCACGCATGAAAATTTGATGCAAGTGGGACCCCCTCAATGGGGTCAATTTTCCATTTTATCACTAACATAAAAACCTTAAGAATTTGTGCGATGTCGTTTTTACTTCGGACTCCACAAGATCGATATACCATATATAATTTAATTCTCGACTTCATTATCACAAATCAATTATTGTTGATTGTTGTCAAGAATTACGTAACCAAACAAGCTTTAGATGCATTTCCTAGAAAAAGCAAAATAAATAAATAAAATTAAAATTTGTGATTGTCTTCACGAAACTTCCTCATAACACATTCAAGAAGCGTAGGGGTGGGGAAGGGGGAAGGGGTAGTGGGGATGGAGTTGGGTGGCCTAATTATTTTGACTACACAAAGCATCTCATCTACTAGACAATCCCTTCAAGTTTCAAACTTCTCCAGATTTGATTGTCCAATATATATTTTTTGAATTGAATTCTTTTCAACTGCGTCAACGATGATCTAATATAAAAAATAAATTTTTATTTTACCTCTTACAAGACTTATTATTTGCAAAAAATCCTATTGTATATTTTGAGATTTTTTAATCCTAAAGGTTGTTCAATTGGTTAGACCTTGGGTCTGCTTCTCAATGGTTATCAGTTCGAGTCCCCTCAGAGCCACTGAAGTAAGTACCCGACCGTAAACTTCAGGAACTTGTGAAATTAATCGAGGTGCGCTCAAACTGATCCGATCAATATATACAATATATTGTATATATTGAGACGTTCATCCAGACTCTTCACACGAAATATTATCCGGTCAAATCTAATTGTAGTAGTTCCCAAAGTTCGAGACAAAGTTAACGTTGCATAATTACACATGGTGTAAGGGTACATTTTTTCTTGGTCCAATAAATATGTGTGAATAAAGTAAAAGAAACCAAAAATTCCATTGCTTAAAAGTCTTGCCATGCATGTAGAAAGCAAGATAAAGACTAAGGAAATGCATACGATGTTTTGTTTACTAGTATTTGTATTCATACTATCGTGAAGTTCTAAATTCAAGTTTTCATATTTAATCAAATGAGGCACTGATTCGTCAGCTGTACGTTATAATATATCGACACCTTTGGTACGTCGTATTAGATAATACTCGATAAACCATTATCCCTTAAAAGAAATAAATCTCGGGATGGAACGTGAAACTAAATTGATGATATGAAAAATGGGTTCTATTAAATAAAGTTGAACCATATAATAAAATTCTATCTACATTATCAAATGTTAATTATTCTAGGTCAGACAACATGTACACGTTATGAAAGTGCCAACCTAACAAAAGTTTCCTTCAAAACAACTCATTTATTGTACGTTTACACCTATTCCAATAGTGGGCCCAATTGACCCGGGTGAAATGTCCGAGTATCTTGGCCCATGTTTCTGTCTTCAAACTTATGATGAAAGGTTGTGGGCCCATTTAGGGTAGAAATTGAAAGCTGTGTCACAAAAGTTGTCTACTTTAATGATTTTTTCTATATTCCAAATTGTTTAGATGATGTGGTCAATACTCGGAATAAATGCATTGATCCGACGAGTGAATATGGGGCCCCGTGATGTGAACCGTAACTTTCCTGGTTGTATCTTATTGTTGGGGGCACATATCTACTAGCCCATCATCTTTAAATTGACATCGCGTCGTTGGTATTGCAACACGTTTCCTCTATATAAACTCGGGCCCACATACACCGTGTTGAGGTTGAAAAGATTAAAAGAAGTTAAGTGCATGTTCGGCATCTAGGTTAATTTTTTAATCACGTCTTTTATGGAATACACAGTTACTAATTACTTATCGACTACTTATTTCTTTCTATTTGTAATTTAGGAGTTGTTTGATAAATGTTTCGATAAAAAAGTATGAAATATATTGCTGAATAGTTCATAAAGTAGTGGATCCGTGAGATACGTGATTAAAATTTAAATTTGATAAAAGTTTAACAAAATTTATCAAATTACAATTCGGTGGCATTCTGCCATTCTCATTTTGAGTGATTAAAAGTAAATATAAGTTGTTGTTCGACCCCTATTTTTTGGTCATATTGCATGTAAAAATAGTGTTTTGTTAGATAATGTGTGATTAAAAAATAATGAAAAGCTTTAAGCTTACGTGTAAAATAATTTTATTGAATAATACGTGGTTTAAAATGAGTTTTTGGAAAAATGGGGAAATTTGGCGAGTAAGAATATGTTGGGAAAATGTGAGAAACGAGGAGTGATTTTGGGATGGGGAATACATTACAATACTGCAATTTTTTTATTTTTTATTTTTTTCATTTTTAGTTTTTATTGGGTCATGACAATGACTGTAAATTTGTTAATGATGTTTTCCTTGAAAATAGGTTTTAATTATGGTGTAACGTGTAAATTTTTTAGAAACATTTGATTTTCACTTTTGTCCCGACGGCAGTTTTCATTTGTTACAATGGCTTTAGTCAATGTCCCTAATTGACATTTATTTTGTATTAATTACGTAGATTCAATGAATCACTTAATTCTATTTTATATAATTTCTCTCAAGAAGCTAGAGTAATCTTTGTATTTTTATATAATTTTTTTTCAAATTACGTTATAGAAATAATTTCTTATTCAGGTTGCCTTTTTTCCCCTAATTTCTGATGATGATTGATTTTATTGTTGTGCCTATTTAATTACACGAAGATGAGATAAAGATTTCCCGCTGCGATAGTTGGAGTATTTGGATTATCAGCCGTTTCCTCAAGAATTGATTCTATCATTTGTTGTCTTTTTATAAACGTTTCGATACGATACTAAACTATGACAATTACTGCCTCCAACTAAGACTACCATTCGAGAGAACTAAGCTAACCGCCGTTGGCAGCAATCCCTAATAAAGACAGAGTAATATTAACTAGTACTACGGGTGCTAAACATCAGTCTTGATAGAGTAATGTTGTTTATCATGATGGTGATGGAATATCACTCATTTTACCTCACATTTCTCTCTCGTAAAAATTAAATTGTTCAATTCCATTATTCCATGTAGACCTACATAGTCGATGTTCCATCATTGTAATGATAAATGACATTATTTGTCTTCATAGCATTCGAATGACATTAATTGATATATGAATTTAAATGCAAGAACATAATTTCATTTAGGATGACTTTTCACTTAAATGCAACATAACTGATGTTAAAATATATGATTAGATAGCACTAAAATGACATTAAATGAATCACTTAATCCTATTTTTTGTTGAGCCTATCACTTTAGTGTATAGGCTACTTAATAGCATTATTCAACATGAATTGGGATGGGGAAAAAAAAAAGAAGAGGAAATTACACCTACACTTGAAATTAGATTTCCAATTTCAAAATTAAGGTCACGAGTTTAACATTTCAAAAATCAGGTTTTTTTTATATCTAATTAAATAA